TACATTCATCTTCAACTCCAATTCTGAATCTATAACAACTGCTTATATCAATATTACATATTCTAATAGTATGACTCATATTAGCAGATTTTTTATAATAATGAAATCTTTTTTTTTAACGTTAACCTCAATTCCATCAATATAACAATATCCAAGATTAAAAATTATACCAGCATTTCCCATATTTTCAGATTTAAGACGAATACTTTTAAGTTCATCTTTTTCACTTTAATTTATTAATGCTAAAGAATCTTCTAATTTAATGTACTTTTGTAATAAACGAATGCTCTGCAGGTTTTTGAAAATAGACAAACGCCTTATATATCCTTTGTAATCAAATTTTTTTCGCAATTTTCGCAAGTATCTTCAAGATTAAATGTTCTATAACATAATCAATCTTAGCAGATTTTGACAATAATTGAATGTTTTACGCTAGTAGATTTTAAAACACTAGTTAATTTTAATAATTCTTTTGTAAATAAACTTTAAGAGGTTTAAATAGTTATAGAGTTGGACATTTTTCTTACTATATCAGTAAAAAATAATAACGATAATAATTAGAAAAACAAATGAAAAAATGAAACTATTATTAATATTTTGAAAATTCTAAAATGAAATTAAAGACAACCATAAAAGATGAAATAATATTAACATTATTGCCAACTTTTTTTTTCTTTGCCAACTTTTTCCTAAGCCAAATATTTTGAATCCTTTTTGTATCCCAGTTCTCTGGTTTAGTATCAGATAAGGTACAAATCTCTATTAATACTTTTGATATTTCTTCTTGTGACAAGGTATCAAATTCAACTAATCTTTCAAAAATATCACATTTGAATTTTGTTAAATATTTTCGTTTCCTTTTTTCTAATATGAAACTTTCATTATGATTATTGTTATTAGTATCCGCTTCTGCAATACTATGCTTTAACTTATTATATGTAGTGTTTAGATCAGATTCAGGATGCTTTTTTTTTAAGTAATTGTATTAATTTTTCTATATTTTTGT